CTCGGGTCCAACAGGCTGGGTTCATATCCCACTCCTGCCATGCGCAGTTATAACTTTGGGCAAAGTGCACAGCTTCTCTGTGTCTCAGTTTCATCTGTCAAATGAGGATAAGTCTTCACAGGCGAGAGATGAGGGTTAAAGGTAGAGTGGACATGAGCACTTCAGCATAAGATTTGCCTGATGCATAAAGAGGATTCCCTCTGCAGAGTAAAATCTTATTTTAAATTTAAATAAACCATAGAAACACAAATATGGGCCAGCAGCATAAGAGAGACAGACATACCCGTATTTATTTTTGTTTGTTTTTCTCCTGATTTTCTGTATTTCTGCCCTAGGACTCCATGCCATTCCCTACATCTTTACAGTAAACTTACCTGACTCACTGGAGCTGGCAGGACTAGGCCTCTGCTCCACATAAACAAAGGAACCCCACCCAGAATAGGCTTCCTTCTCTCTTTGTCCATCCCACACTCAAGCCAGACAGGACTTGGCTCTTCCTCAGACTTATGCCTTCAGCCCATGCTCCTGTCCACGCCAGCAATAGCACAGAGCTGCCCACCTTGCCTCTCAGTCTCCTGCAGTCTCAGTCCCTCACTTTGCAGAGCCCTCATTTCACACCTCTCCGAAGCTCTCTCCGGTCCACCTAGCCAAAGAACCTTCTGGCCACTCTGAAGCCCCTTGGCTGCCCACTCGTGCCTCTCCTATGGAGGATCTAATCCAGGCTCCATCATTGAACAGTTCCAGCCCCTGGACAAAGCCCTCTGCCCCCTTGAGCTGTTTCCTGGTGTCTAGAAGGCAGACTCCAGTGTCATTCTGGTCTCTCACATGGAACTTTTGAGAGACCAGAAGCACATGCCAGAAAGTGTGCCCAATGACTGAAAACTTCAAGGTGCTCTCCAAACTGTAGGCCTTTCCCATAGACGCTCTCATGAATGAACAGCAATTTGCAGATGAACACGTAGGCTCTTCATTCTGTGTCACTCTGCTTTACAATCCTCTGGGAGCTCTGAGGAGTGCGAAATTCCAGAGGCCCCCACGGATCTGCCAGCCACACAGTCTCTGGGTGCACCTGATGGGCTGGTTGAGCCCTCGTACCAAAGGAACTCTGGCAGCACCATCACTCTCTCACAGCTTCTCAATTCTTCATCCCTCAAGCATTCGGCTCTAGGACTTAGAAACAAAATGTCTCCAAGTCTGCCCATAACTCTGCATTTTAAATGTTCTGTTGTCCATAATAACTAATTTCCATAAAGGGCCAGTAGGATGGAGCACAGCAGGACACAACAGGAGAAAACAAAATGCAGTAACGTAGATTTCATTTGACCAGCTAGAGCACTCAGAGAAAGTGTCAGACCACATCAAAAGGAATGGAGTCATCGTCATCTTTACACAACTCCCTTCACACTCTCTGAAAAGTCATGATGGAGAGGGGCGTAAATTATGGCGTCTTCAGCTAATTTTACATGATACACACACAAATGACTTTACTTTTCCTAATTGTGAGAAATAATGAAATCTTCTTTCCCTCCTTCTATCCGTGTCCTCTATCCAAAGGTTCTGCTACTTTAAAACATTTGGTGGAAAAATAATACTGGGGCATTGTTCTTATAAAAAAATCTAATCATTTTGAGTTTAATTCTAATCTGCAGAGAAGAATATGAACCTGTCCTGCATGATGGTACTATGACAAAACGAGTTAATTACCATCTCATCCTAAGATGAATCTACTTGTCATAGGAATAGGAGCCATTATTTCACACAAAATAATGACCCAGATAGAAAGTAATGACTGCATCTAAGGCAACCAATGACACAGCTTCATCTTGACCTAACTGAACGGCAATTAACAAGTGTCACCACTACATATATATAAATACAGCCAAAGCTATTCATTAAATATTTGCAATGAAAAAAACCCACAAATGGTTTTTAGCGTTCTTCTTCCTGGGAAGCACCTGTGGTCTTCTACCTGGTGTGATGACAGAAAAATTTACACATGTAAAATTCAGCCATCAGTTGGAATAGCCCTGGGCACTGGAGAAGTACATGGAGTTGTCCTCTGCTCTTTGCACACAGAGGTGGTATTTTCTTTAGAAATTATGGCCAGCAACAGAAAAGAGGAGTAGGGGGAAGGGGGCCCAGTCCCATTATTTTATCCCACTTCTGGTTGTCATGGCAACTGGACTAGAAACTAAAACCACAGCCAGCAATGACAGCGAGAAATGCTGGGTCTTTCCAAGTCCAGCCCTGTCCACTGACAGACAATGCGGGGGCTAATGGAGGGGCAACCTCAACACACCTGGCTCCTCCAAGGCAGGAATGACCATAAGCCACATTTCTGTTTAGAGGAACAGAGATGGAACTCTGGGATAGACATCTGGAGGCACTCCAGGTCAGAAATCTCACTGCTGCCCTGGTGTGCAAGCTGTCCAGTCTGTCTTATTTAAAAACCAAGTGTATAACAGTAGCAGGATGATATGATGGGCTTTAAAGCATATTATTTTCAAAACATTAAGAACAGAATTCTTATACTATAAGTATTCACTTAATGTTATCAGTAGGTTCCTGGAAACTGAGACTTTGAGCAAAATGACAAATAAAACCAATTTTCTTCTCAAGGTCAAAACTAAACCACATTGAATGAAATTGAGGACCTGCTGTATGCTGTTTTACTAAAAGTCAGTTTCCAAGAACCTACTGACAGTGTTAAGGACTTACTATACAAATACAGAATGAGCAGGTGTCATTTACTTAACAAATTACCTGATGAATCATCAGATACACGTGTGTATACACACATACTCAGGGGGAAAAAAAGAATGCTGGTATAAAAGTTAAAATAAAGACTGGCTAATGTCCTTCAGGGCATAAAAACCTTAACTTTGAAGGCATTTTCCACTGGACAGATGTACATCTCCACTTGGGTACTACAGAAACGATACCCCAGTAGCCTGCAGATCGGGCTGTTTCCTGAAGAACTGAGACAGGACCACTGTCTCAATGGGTCAGTCATGCAATGCCCTAATTTGGTTAAGACAAAGTCACCAACTCATATCAACTCATATATTTTCTTTCTTTTAAGAGACTGGGTCTTACTCTGTCACCCAGGCTGGAGTGCAGTGGTGCAGTCATAGCTCACTGTGGTCTCAAACTCCTGGGCTCAAGCAATTCTCCCGCCTCTCCTAGCCTCTAGAGTAGCTAGGAATATAGTCAAGCACCACCACGCTCGGCTTTTTAAAAAGACTTTTTTTTTTTTCTTTTTTCCGCAGAGATGGGGGGTCTCACTATGTTGCCCAGTCTAATCTCAAACTCCTGGGCTCAAGCAATCCTTTTGTCTCAGCCTCCCAAAGTGTTGGGATTACAGGCTAAGCCACTGTGCCCAGCCTCAAATCACATGTTTTTAAAGAGCATATTTGAGAGTGGGCAGAGCCTCATGCCTTCCTGTTACCCGCTAACCCCTCAAATATTCCAAGCATCTGAGTCTTAATTACAAAACCATTTCTAAAATGAGTTTTTCCCGTATTCAGATCATAGGGTAAATTCTATCTCTAGGATGTCCCTATACAAGTTGATTATTTGCAGCAATCCAAACAAAGATGGCTCTATTTCTATAGAAAGCTACATCAGTTATAAAAACACTTGTGTTCTCAGGCTTATGCATATGTGAACAAAAGCTACTTGCCCCACCCCCCATTTCTTAAATAATAATCTGAATTCTACCAGAGCAGAAAGAGCCTCCCTCATCCTAGTAAAATTACCAGAAATTCTGACCTCAGAGATCATCTGGCTCCTGGTCTATGGCCCATAGACCCACACATGAGCCATACATGAGTGGCTACTCCCAGAGTCCCCGGAGCCTGAACACTCAATACATGTTGAAGGGAGGGTGGCAGCAGGGAAACAAATCTCCTTTAAAGGGACAACCTAATCATTTCACTGTTCTACAAAATTCCTCTCAATGCCTTCCCGCTGCCTTTACTGTCCAGTCCCAGCTGTCTCTGGCCCCTTCTCCCGACCCTCACTCTCCCCCGGTGTTCTTTTGATTCCTCTCGCTCCCTCCTGCCTCAGGCCCTCATGTACTCTGTTCCGTGTTTGGAGGGCTCCCCAGCCTGCCCAAGCACAGCCGCATCCCCAAAGACACCCCGTCATCCTTCCCATCTCGGCTTCAGGTACCTTCTGGATCCCCTTGCTCCTGAGCTCCGGCCACTTCCCGCTGGTAAAACTCACTAGTTCGGCTGTTTTAGTCTCTGTATCCCAGCATCTAGTACTATTCCTGGCCTAAAGCTGACAGCTGACAATATTTATTAACAAATTCCCTAATTGGCTGATTGGACCTCAAATCACAATCACCTGTATGGGGTGGGGACTTGTCAATTACTAGGGAACACTGGGTAAGAAAGAACAAAATAAGCATCAAGCAGTGAACTCAGCCCCGGTTTGGGGCTGGGACATTCCTTCTGTAGTAAACGTCATATTAAAACTCAAGTAGACCCTACGGTTGGGCACAAAACCTCATATGGCATGAAGAAAGATTCAAAACCAGACATATTTCTGGGCAGATATGAATTCCCTGCAACTAGGCAGTTTTCCCTGGTATGATCGAATGTGGGTGGCCCAGGACTCTGGCATGCTCCCACACTAGGAAGGGAAGGGGGCTTGCAGCAATGAAGACCCACAGATAAAAGGAAGGTGGGGTCTGGGAAGTCACATCACCTTGAGGGTTTGAAAGGAGTCCTGGCGCTGGCCTGCAGCTCTGTCAGCTGTTAACCCCACTCCAGCTGGAAAAGATAGGACCCAGGATCCTGCATGCCTGGGGAGGAGGGGTTAGCCATCTTGTTCCAGAGCCCGCTCTGGAGACGGCTGCTCCCCTGTGAGGCTGCCAAAGGTTTAGGTCACAGTTTTTGCATGGCCTCTCGAGTGTGGCCTAAGCCAGCTCCCTGCCTGTTCACTCAGGTGAACACCGCAAACCTCTTCAACAGTACCCTGACTGCAGCACTCACCTTCTTAATGAACTCTGGGATGAGTTTCTGGTCTGTCAGGTGGGCTAAGGAGGAACAGCAATCTAATTCCAAGATGTAGCCTTCATTGTGAAGATCACTTTTCTGAGATCTGAAGAGAAAGAAAAGCATACACACAAACAGATTAATATCTTGCATAATTTGGAGACAGTCTCACTCTTGTCACCCAGGCTGGAATGCAATGATTCGATCTTGGCTCACTGCAACCCCCACCTCCTGGGTTCAAGCAATTCTCCTGCCTCAGCCTCCCGAATAGCTGGGATTACGGGCGCCAACTACCACGCCTGGCTAATTTTTGTATTTTTAGTAGAGACGGGGTTTCACCATGTTGGACAGGCTGGTCTGGAACTCCTGACCTCAGGTGATCTGCCCGCCTTGGCCTCCCAAAGTGCTGGGATTACAGACGTGAGTCACTGTGCCCAGATGCATATTATTTCTTTTTAAAAAAGAATCACTGGGTATTTAATGAAGCCCCAAATTCTTTCCTGAAAGTAATGCCAAAAAGGCACTGATGAAAAATAGTTTATGGAAACTACTCAATTAATATATACAGATCCACATCATAGAAAGACCTCAAAGATGCAGCATCGTGTAAAACACATCATTATAGAATGATGGGTTTGGTACAATGCAGCCTACATGTTACACACACACACATGCACACACATACAAACGCTCACTCCAGTAATGTCTATTTCCCATTGGTTTATATCTGCCAGGGCACAGAAAAAGAACAAGCAAGACATACACCAAACCAATAATGGCAGGTACCCCTGGGGAATGGAGAGGGCTTATGTGGGAACTGGGGCTAGGTGATTATGGTATGGGTGTGGGGGTGGTGATCAAAAGTGACTTTAGCCATAATCCCTAATTTTTTTCATTTTTAAATGAAAAGGATATACTCCTATATCACTTAGAAAATTAAAAATTAATTTTAAAAAGACTTTAAAAGGGTTCAACCCCTTTAGAGGGCAATCTGACAAAATCTATCGCAATTAAAGATGCATTAAAGAAAGACTACCAAGCAACTAAAAGAAATTCTGGGAAAACAGTGTGGGCGTAAAGGGCTGTCTGAGGTGGAGGCCTGTGGTCTTGCTGTCAAAGGAGAGGCTTCCCAGCACACCCTGCCATCTCTGCACACAGGGACTGCCTTCCAAAGCACCACCACACAGACATCCCCGTGATACAGCACAGTTCAGAACTGCACCCATTCAGGACAGCCAGCAGCAAGAGCTCACCAGGAGGGAATTCCACCACTTCACAGCCATTCACAGGCAGGGCTCCTGTACGACACTCTAGCGGAAGCCACGTGGTTGTCAGAAATTGAAGGGGATTCCTTGGCCCAGCCAGGCGTACGGCAACAAGAGTGGCACTGCAGCTACGGGCTGGCAGAATGTGCTCTCTCTCCTAGGTGGCTTGTGGTATTGGGGAGTGGGAATTAGAGACCAAGGTTCCCAGCTCCTTGTCCAGGGCTCATGTACACAGCTCATCTGCACTGCTGGAGGAGGGAGCAGAGCCCTCCTGGCTCACGTATGAGGCTGCTCTACCGAAGAGGGGCCCCTGCAGTCCCTGTGAGAGCAGGACTGTCCAGAAAATCCATACAGCAGGTGCTTCCACACTGAACTCCTGAGGTACATGCATGTCACCAGTTTCTAACTGTGTATTTGCTGTAACATTTTAAATGAATTTCTAAGATTCTTATATAGCATTGAAAGCAATTAGGCTACCATTAACCATCTGTGTATGATTCACCTTAAATTTAAAAGTGAAAAAAATGAAAGAGGATTTGGTTTTCCCCAAGTGTGCCACTGTGATTTGATAAGCAAACTTCAGTAGCTTATTTTTATTTTTCCTTCTAACATACCGTTCCAAAGGTAGGGCACTGTGGTGCACACATTCAAAATGTAAAAGAATAAACTGATTTCAATCTGGGACAAACTAATTCCAAAAGAATAAACCAATTCTGAACCCTAACCTTTTTGCCTTAATACTTGGTCAGAGACTAGACTCATGTTTTAATTTCCTCCCTAAACAAAAGACCTATTAAGAGGAACTAAGGCAGATGATTCCAGACTTTTGAAAAAGAAGACTTGGTCAAGACACACTGTCATACGTATCATGTGAGGTCTCAAACAACAAAAATCAAGATGAGGGAAGGGGGTTCTAAAATCTAAAATCCAGCTGCTCTGTTACATGGAAACTAATGTCAGTCTATATGAGGTTATTTAGAAATATCCATTGAGATTTCAAACGAATAGACTAAAAAACTTTTCAAATGAAAAGACTAAGTCAATGCTGTGTCCATTAAGTACAACGTTCATAGGATGAACAAAAGGAAGACAAGTCTGTCTGTAAGCAACTCACAGCCCAGATCGATTCTAGGGAATCATCTTTAGCATAGAATCTAATAAGTACCGTCTTTGGTTCTGGAACAAGAAGTTCCATAACAAGAAAGGAAGCTCTGGTTCATTTAATCAAATAATTAACTCAGTTACATTTGAACTGAAAGGAGCACAGAAGATCAAGAAAAATAGGCATTACAAATTTTTTAGATGAACCATGGAAAATTACATCTCAGCCTATGGTTTCTTGGAAAAGCAAATCTAATGCATATTGGGGAATACGTGAGCAAGTAATAGGCATTCCCTTGCCTTTGAGAATTAGCTCCTCAATTTGAAATGAAAGGATTATAACACTGAAGAATGACTGAAAGGGACAGGAAGGGGGAAAGATCCCTAAACCCCTCGAGGACAGATGCTGGCTGCCAAGCCTTGAAGTCAGCACTCTGTGATGGTGCAGCTGTGGCCTCACAGAGGAGGAGCTGAAGGCAGAAGGCACAGTCACACAGAAACTCTCTCCTTGCCACTAATCCTATGAAAAACAGCATTAAATCCACTAGCAAAGTCCTTTAGGGCTGCCAGAGGGAGTTTCTGGGCTTCTCAGCACTGGAGAAGTGAGGTGGTGGTGGGAGGACCATGGTTGCTGTGGCAAATACACCCTAAGATGACCCTCCCCAAAATCCCCACCTCCTGGTGTTCACACTTTGGGGCAATCCAGCCCTTTGAGTGGGGGCAGGGCCTGTGACTTGCGTCTACTCAATATAACATGGTAAAGGTGATGGATGTCGCTCCTGTGATGGCATTATGTTATATGACTCCCTCTGAGCTACAGAATCCCTTACTGGCTTTGAAGAAGAAAGCTGTCAGGAAGAAGAAGAGAGCCACATGGCAAGAAACTACAGATAGCCCCTGGCTAACAGCTGCAAGAAAACAGAGATCCCAGTCCTACAACTACAAGGAGATGAATCCTGCCAACAAACTGAGGGAGACTAGAAGTGGGGCTTTCCTCAGTTGAGTCTCTGATGAGACTGCAGCCCCAGCCAACACTGATATTACAGTCTGATAAAATCCTGAAGCAAAGAATCCTGATAAGCTACAGAAACCACATGATAATAAATATGTACCATTTTGAACCCTGAAATTCATTATAATTTATTACAGAGCATAGAAAACGAATACCAAAAAAAAAAAAAAAAAGAAAAAAGAAAACTAATACAGCTCCTGGGGAGGAAGACATGGCAGTTTCATGCTTAGAACAGGCCACCCACTGGTGGCCAGGACTAGGCCCAAACTCACAAAATTCAGCCAGACATCTGACAGCAGCCTCCATCAGGTGAGGCGTGTTCTGTGTCCCTGAGGGCAGGGACCACCCTGGGAGACAGAAGTGGACATGTCCTAGAAGTGACTTCCAGGGGCTGTGGCCTGGTTGTCCAAGATACCACAGGACAAAGGAATAAATATTCTGCTATCAACCCAGTTTCTATGAAAGAAGCATTAACCCGAAACTCCCGGCTGAGCAGGCATTGTCACCTTCCTGTGGGGTAGTGGAAATACCAGGTATGCTCCCCAAAGGGCCACGTCATTGTATCATCCTGGAAGATAATATGGGAAACCACCCAAATTCCCCTGGACAGAAGTCCAGATGGCTTCCACTTTTGGAAAGGACAGAGATATCTGATTTTAAACAGTAAGAAAAAGAAAACACAGAATGCACTTCTGGGGATACACGCAGGGTTGACTAACAGCAAAAGCCCCCCCACCACCCCCACCCAGCCTACTTTATCTGGAAATTAACACTAAGCACTGTCCAATTCAATAAAGACACTCTGAGAAGAGCATGACTAATAATAAAATATGCTTCCCCATCACTCATCATCCCCAACTTGGTAAATTCCAACAGATTTACTAGTTAGAGGCTACTGGTGCTAGAGCTTACTAGAGGTAGGTAATACACCAGCTGGGAGCCTTTGGGCAATTAAACTTTCTGTGCTTCAGTTTCTTTCACTATTGAATGGGATATTATACGGAGCTATCTCTTAACATTGCTGTAAGGATTAAATAGGACAAAAAGAAGCAAAGCCCTTAGCACAGAGGTACAACATCCAGGCTCAACAAATCCTACCTGCTACGGATCTATTATTATCATCTATAATTGTGTTCTTACTTTTCCTTCCTAGCACATTTCACAGTTCATAATTACTCATTCATTCATTAAATATGGACCAAACTACTACTGTGTCAGGTACTATACTTTAGCAGTCATCAATAGATAGAAGAAACAAAATCTCTGCCTTCATGGAGCTAACAATCTAATAGGACGAGAAAGACAATAAGCAATAGTAATGTATGAGCACCTATCAGAGTATACCCAATGGTGGGAAGTCTTGGAAAAAAAAAAAAGAAAAGGGCTGGGCACGGTTGCTCACGCCAGTAATCCTAGCACTTCAGGAGGCCGAGGTGGGAGGATCATCTGAGGTCAGGGGTTAGAGCCCAGACTGGCCAACATGGCAAAACACTGTCTCTACTAAAAATACAAAAATTAGCCAGGCGTGCTGGTGCATGTCTGTAATTCCAGTTACTTGGGAGGCTGAGACAGAATTGCTTAAACCTGGGAGGTGGAGGTTGTAGTGAGCCAAGATCGCACCATTGCACTCCAGCTTCAGCAACAGAGTGAGACCCCATCTCAAAAAAAAAAAAAAAAAAGGAAAGAAAGAAAGAAAAAGAAAGAAAAGAAAAGGAAAGAAAGAAAGAA